ACCTAATTAGACTTATTTGACAAAAAGTACATATAACAAAATAGTTTGGAAAAAAAGTACACATCTGAGAAACAAAAACGTAAATACCTATTTTATGGTCATTTATTTTAAAATCTTTTATCTTTAATGCACTTTATATATATATATATTTGTTGTTAAATCTCTTATATAAATTTTGAATTATTTTTAATGCACCTTGAGTCATGCTTTTTTTTTTTTTGGAAAGTGATTTTATTTTGAAATTATATTTAATATTTAAATAGTCTAATAGTGTAACAATAACAGTGTAACAAATTCACTGTAATAAAGACAATATAACAAATACTCTATAACAAAAACAGTGCTAAGTAGTTTTGTACATGTGGTAACAAATTCAAAATGAAGATAGATTAAGTTAAATGAAATTATAAGAAACAATATGTTTGACAAAATGTAACAGTACAATATTTTGTATAAATAACTTATTACACTGTTATTGTTACACTATTATACTATTCGGATAGTAAATTAATTTGAAAATAAAACCATTTTTCAAAAAAAAAAATACATGAATCAAGGTGTATTAAATATAATTTAAAAACAAATAACTTTTCAAAAAAAAATACGCATAAATCAAAGTGCATTACAGATAATTCAAAATTTAGATAAGAGATTTAATAACATATATATATATATAAGTTTTCTTATAAAATTAAGAGATATTTAATGCACTAATTTCCAAAGAAAAAACACATAGATTAATAGAGGACAAAAATATCACAAAAAAATCAATAAAATTTAAATAATATACTTAAATATAAATAAGTATCAAAATTAAGAACTTAATTATCCAACATCTTCTATATATAATTTTTTAAAATTAAATCTAATTTAGAATACCTGTTTCCAATTTCCACAATAATCCCACACAAACGAATTTATCGAACAGTCTAGCGGTTACCGATCTTGGGCCTCTCTCTCCATTAGCCGAGACAACACCACATCGCAGCGGGAGAATTGCAGTCACTTTGCAAGAGATAAACCTGCGTCGCTTCAAACAGTCGAATTGATGATTCGAAGAATGAGTTCAACCTATTCAGCTCTCGAATCTCAGAGTCTCGCCGCAGGACCTGTGGTAAATGGATTTAGAATTCTCTCCTCCGCCTGTGCTTGTATTGATCTTTGAAGGGTCTGCTAGGTTTGGATGTGCACCCATAATCTGGAAATTGTCAAATCTTGGGATGATATTATATGCACCTGCACATCCAGCCTGCAAATCTCCGTCATTTCTTGATAATTTAGGTGATTTTGAATTCTTTAAAGGGTATGCTTAGTTTGGATGTGCACCCATAATCTAGAATTGGGGGCATACAAGCTGTATGATAAAATGACTAAGTGAAACTTTTACAGCTTTATATCATGTCTTGGGATGATTATATGGACCTGCATATCCTCCATATGCGTGCATTGCTTTTACTGTTCAATATTAGAGCCTACAAGTTTCCATCATTTCTTCATAATTTAGGTTCTTCCATCACATAAATTAAGTGTGTGCTGTGTACTCTATGGGAATTTGAACTTCTGATTCTATCATGCATTTATATATTTTCTCTTTTTTTTCGAACATTGCTTTGAATGGCAGAATGTTCAATGTTCAACGTTCAACATGGGCATTTCAGAGCTTAAAAATCTCTGGCGTTTCTTTATGAGCTAGTCCTTTCTGGTGTTCTGCATTGTATGTGGATTTGAACTTCTAAACTCCATAATGTTTGTGTATATGTGTTCACTCCGCCTGCTAAAAGTTCATTCAGTGTGAGTTATAGGATAGATGAGCTGCTTTTCTTTAGGGAATAGGTTTAAGTACTTGCTTGGTTGCCATGACGTACTTTATTTGGGTTTGTGATGTGACTGATGTCAGTACATGATGGATTTAGCAAACAGACGCAGTTGACCTGCTCCCAAAGTTTGGAACATCCTCTAATTCAATATAAAATTTCTCAAGTGTTCTTCACTATTTTGAAGGAGTTCTCCCCTATAAACCTCTGTATTTTCCTAAATGCCTCCTTAAAAAATCTATCCAAGAATTTACCTCCTAAACCGAAAACTTGGATCTGTCTCTGTCAATCTACATACCTTTGTATATCATATTCGTCTTAATACTTCACAGTGCCTGACACTGTAGAAACTCTTCTGTGAATTGTCTTACCCAGATAATGCATGCTCTTTGAAGCATTTGGGTGATAAAGTTCTATTCCCGTGTCCTCAGTGTAGTACGTATGTAGGGGTGTGATATAGATCGTAATAGCTTTGATACCAAATTGATGTAGGTCGTAGTAGTGAAGAATTAGGGATCAGAAAGGGAAGAAGAAGGGGATAAGAAGAGAAGAAAAAAGGGATAAGAAAAGAGAAATAATTTGAGAAGGAAGTAAAATATTCAATCCCAGTCGTTAATAATAATTAAAAGTATTCCACAACAAACATATATCCCCTATATATATAAGGAGTTCACAAATCCTATATATATAAGAAAATCACAAATCATAAAATAAATAAATAATTAAAATGACAACTAAGTCTCTGAAAAATAAAATAACAAATAACTCTTAATCTCTACGTCTGCGCCTACTATAACGAAATATAATCTGATTCATATCATTTTCCTTCAGTTGAAAAGAACTCGCCTCCGGAGAGATACGATCATGATAATGCTCTAGAAGATCAGGGTCAAGCTGACGAAACTCCTCTTTAGTAATCCATGAAACATCAACTCCAGATGATCTCTCCGCCGATCAAGATAATGACGATATCCTCCATCCGAGGATCCCATAATCTGATCGTCGAGTACATCTGCAATTTGGTCATGTAACTGTGGTAGAATTGGTGGAAGAATAGGAATTGTAGGTGATGCTGATGACAAAGTAACTCCACTTGTTGAAACACTGGCTAACAAAATAGGAGGTTCTAGAGTACCTCAATTAAGTAGCATGTCCTCTAAATAAAAATCTGGACTAATATTAACATTTAATGAAAAATTAAACAAATAAGTATTAGATCCAAACTCGAGAATAGTAAAACAATTCTCATTAGATTTTAACACAAAGTATTCAATGGGATAAGATATCGATGACAAAAGAGTAACAATAATGCCCTGGTGCTGAAAATAAGAAAGTATAGACTCAAGTAAACACTTGACAGTAGGCAAAGAAACAAAGTTAACACTCTCAAGTGAGGTAGAATTTAGAACAATATCAACAATCTCAGGTGGAGAAAAATCCGAAACAAAATCAACAATCTCATATGAAGAAGAATCCACAATAATGCCATCATGATTCGGAATAGTAGACATAGAATAATTGTCAACAAATTCTAAAATAGATAGCTCAATATATTCAACATCTAACATTAGAACCAACTGAATAAATTTTTCCACAAGTTCAATGATTAGTGATAATTCAACTTTTGGCTCCGATGAGGTAGGAAACATGATAGGTCAAAAATAATCTCATCACTAGTATCAATGTTCAAACAATTGAAAGAATGTTTTGATGGATGGAAAGCATGATGGTCCAATGAAACAGAAATATTGTTATCATTATGCAGATGTTCGACATTAGGTAAAACTGGAGACTTGCCCTTATTTTCTTCCATTTGCTGATTTGCAAGAATTTTATTCAAGTGGAAAACTTGACTTGTTAATTCAGAAAATTGGTTTTTCATCTCTCTATATTCTTCACGTAATTGGCCAAGTGAATGTTTAGTATTGACAACTCCAATTTCAAAGATCTCAACCTTTTTTTGTAGGGCAGTTTAGGCTTTTGAATGATCACTAATGACATTGAACATTGATCCAGATTGACCTTGATGATGACTTTGGGAAGTATGACATTGGTAACTATTATGTAACCTAAGTGTCTAAGAATAGTATTCTAGATAATCTTCATAACAAAACTTAGACTTACTATGTACTTTATGATGACTCCGATAAACTCTCGGAGTGGGATAGGTATAGTGATGACGTTGTGGAAAACTGTGAACTTGAGACATTCTTGATGTTAGATAAGTATATGAATAGGCATCATAATGATCATATGAACTCATGATTGACTTTGAAAGATGAGAATAACATAAGAATGAGTTTAAGAATGCAATTGATAATTACAAAAAGTGAGAAAACTTAAATTGAAGAAAATATATTTTGGACCCTTTGCAAATTCTCTAATTTTTCAATGAATAAAAATATTAGTCTCAAATTTCTATGGGAGTATGCATACCATAATTAAGAGAAAATTTTGAAACTTATTGGAGATGATTCTGTACTTTCTGAAACTTTTGGGATGATGTTTTTTTAATTTTTTGAAACTTCTAGGGGTGATTCTGTAATTTTGGAGCTTCTGGTAGTATTTATGTAATTCACTAAAACTTATGAGGGTGATTCTGTAATTTTCTAGACCTTCCAAGAATGTTTTTGCAATTCTAAAACTTTTTGGAATTTTCTGGGAGTGATTCTGTAAGTTTCTGGTTTTACTGGGGATATTTATGCAATTTTAGAATTTCTGGCAATAGGTCTTCTTCCCCACGTCTCGTTGAAGATGTTGTTCCCAAACAAAACCCTATGTGATCTGATCGTCTTCTTGCGACAATACTGCTTCAATTTTTTTTTTTTTAACTAGACAGTAAATTGTTGGTGGCGATGAACAGTGCACAATGAATAGTAATTTTTTTTTTTTTTATACAAATCGAAGTTGGACTCTGATACCAAATTGATGTAGATCATAATAGTTCTGATGCCAAATTGATGTAGATCATAATAGTGAAGAATTTGGGATGAGAAAGGAAAGAAAAATGGGGTGAAAAGAGAAGAAAAAAGAGATGCAAAAAGAGAGAATTTGAGAAGGAAGTAAAATATTTAATACCAGTCGTATCTCCTATATATATATAAGAAGTTCACAAATCCTATATATATAAGGAGATCACAAATTGTAAAATAAATAAATAATCAAAATAACAACTAAGTCCCTGAAAAATAAAATGACAAATAACTCCTAATGCCTACGTCTGCGCTTACTATAACGAAATATAATCCGATTCCTATCAGGGTGTCCCTCAGAAATCTCTAGAATGGAGATGGAAATGTGATTCTGGTGATTTCCATTGCCTGAATAGCCCAAAGTGTTCGGTATCTGCTGTCATGTCACTTGTAACATTTAGGAGCCTGCTCATAAAGTATCCTTGAATACATTTTATCTACAAACATCTCTCTATTTTCACTAGAATGTCATGTGGCATTATGGCCACATAATGCACATATAAAACTATTTGTGTGGAGTCTTCAATTTGTATGAGTTTGAAAATTTCTTATCATTTCGTTGAGTGGACATATTTAGTGAGCTTGCCGACAATCATCTTATGCATTTGGTATTTAGTTGAAATCTTGAAGTTTCTTGTTTGATAACTTCATTTTCTTGTTCTGACCTCTGGCTAATCTATTTCTGGCATTTTCCCAAAAAGTTTTCTTTTTCACATGTTATCAGGGATCAACTGTTCAAGCAGAATTTGATTTGGCCACAGGTGCTCTAGATAATTCAAATTTTCTGCCAATTCAAGAGTCACTTTCTGTAACAGCTGAGAGACCTCTAGTTCCCATCTCAGCAACATCAAGCCCAGTCTCGGATGCTTCTCCCAGAAACACACGTGCAGCGATCAGGTCCATATGCCACCCTCCTACTATTTTCCATTTATTTTTATATGATGTCTGAAAATTGTACAAATAGAATAGATTCACTGTTTTAAAAATGCTGCTGCATTATGCTTGCTCATGACTACAATGTCTTAATAGGTCTTCAGTCTTCTGTACACATGTACAGACCACCTAAATCAATCCTCTCTAAACCAGTTCTAGATTGTGCAATTGCCTGCATAACTGACATACCTTTAAATTTAATCAAGTTGGTATCTACGAGTCCCCTTTTAGTCTACCTGTTTCTTGCCTTCAGACGTAAAAAAAGCCAAAAATATCCTTCCAAAAGTTGTTTATACACATAAAATTGGGGCATATTGGTCATTTTGTTTTTCACCTTTTCATGGATCTTCAGCTCCACTGCCCCTAAAATGTCTCAATGCTGCCCTCACCGGTTATCTCTCTTGTGACTCGTACGTCCAAAGATTTAATGAAAATGGAATGGGGAAGTCTGTTTGGTGTCACTGGTGGTTGATGTTTCATGCATGGTGATTGGCCCTTGGAAAAAAGAAAAAACTGAAATGAATTCAGAACTCACCTAAATACTGCCATCTACTTTTGCAGTGGCATCCTTTGGTTCTGGTGAAAACAACTGATGCCATAAATTTTTATTCCTGTGGATGTAAAAGGTGTTGTTTGGATAGGATTCTCTAAGAGAAAAGGTGCAATTTGTCTTCATGCACATGGTTTATCATGTAAGATGAGAGATATGTTAGCGAGAGACTTTGTTGGTTGTTGATCTGGGAATTCTATATGAGAAAAAGAACAAAAAAGACTTCTTGATTAATACCCCAGCCAGAAGTGCCATAACTGCAGGTAACCTCTTCTGATTCTGGTGAACCTGGTTGATCCTTTGGAAAAAATATATGAGAGGAAGTATCTAAAACCTACTTTTCTTTTCTCACTTCCGCGAATAGTCCTTTGTTTTTCACGGGGCTCTGCCACCAAAAGGCCCCTCGAGTCCTCCTGGTAAGATACAGCAAGAAGACTGTAAGTGCATTTGAACACTTTTTACCCACAACAATAGATGGACACGAACTAAATAGAGGAGGAAAGGAAGAGATTTAACCCCCTATCTATAAATATTAGAAGTTGGGTACCAAACCTTGCTTTTCCTTGTGAAAGCAAGAGCTAAAAAAAATAGTAGACTGAACAAAGAGACGTATTCTTATCAATGGCTGTTTTGAAGTTGAAATTATATCTCCCCCCTTTTTTGTTTACTTTCTGTGGGGATGGGTGCAACGGTGTCTTATAATGTCCCAGTGGGCAGATGGAGCACAGTTATTCTAGTATTGTTTTTTGATCATGCTTTTAAAAATAATTATGCCTTAACTAGTTTTGAATCAAAATAAGCTTCGATTGGTATTACTGTCTTCCTCCCATGATGACAGCATATTTCTTCTGTGTTTAACCACAGAATGTTGTATACAGAAGATGGAATACTAGTGGCAGAGGATTTTTGCAGGAATTCTGAACTCCAATTTTGGGAATCAGGCTTGGATTTGCACAACCAGCACTACATTGAGAGGATAAAGGAGCTGCAGTGTCAACTTGATATGGTAATTTAGTGACCAAGGTTATTCTTGTTCGTTGGCTATCTGCTTTCTCTTTTTTAGTTTACAATGAAATTGGTCATATTACACTGCTGTTCCGTATTTTGGTTGGTTGACAACTAGGCAATTCTTAAATTTTATCATGAACTTCCTTTTATTCCCCTTCCTTTCTGCCTCTTCTGCTTTAATATGCACTGAATTTGGTCATATCCACCAAGGGAACTTGTTCATTCGCAACTAGCACTGTATAGATGTCGTGTTCCAAATGTCGAGGAGCCCAGGTAGCTATTGTTGCTTAGGTTTATCTGGGGCCTTGTTTTGCTGGACTGTGATCCATCAGTTGATATCAAACTTACACCTATTTGCCATATGGCAGGTTGCCAACTTTCTAGTGTCAATGATAGACATTGGGTGTATGCCGTCTGAAAATTAAGTATAGGGACCTAAAGATTAATTCTTGAACTTTCTGTAATTTTGGATGGGCACGTTGGTTGAATAACTGAATGATCTGAGTCACCAGTGATGCATCTCCGATGCTATATTGAACCAGTGCAGGCCGTAAGCTTAGGCCACTTTGGTGGTCTCCTAGAGCCCCCACTTTCATTAGGGCCCCTGTGTTGGATCCAATATAGAGATGTAATTTGGATGGGCTGAATTCAGAACCCTCATGTGGCTCAATATTGTCATGAAACCCAAACCCAGTCTAGAAACTAGCATTACAGATACAGGTTTGGTCATATCAGATAGGAGCCCATGTTAAATGGTTGACCCAAAACCTTTTGTTTTGCCTTTTGTACCTTCTGAGAAATAATTGACCCATCTCCATAGATGCTTTTTTATTTATATATTAAAGATCGATAAAGCGATTTAAAAGTTTCACCTAAGCAACCCCTGGTTGAACCTTTCCAATTATTGGATTCCAATTATTTACTAATTTTTTTTAATTTACCAAAAAAAAAAATTTGGTTTCCAATTGGCGAATGTCTATTCGCTGCCCGAAGGGATTTATGAAGTCAAAAAGAGCTTCTATGGGTTAGATTAGGAGTATTCAAATTTTCGATTGCCCGCAAATTTTAACCCTATCCTATCCTTCTCAACTCTATTGATTAACTATCCAAAAGAATCGGGTAGGCCAATGAAATTTTTTTTGATATTTTGCAAAAAATTGGGTAGAAATGCAGAATATTTACAAAATTTTCGTATTGCTACCCTACCCTACCCGATATATATATAAATTAAAATCCAAAAAATCTAGAAACTCTAATGTTTTATTGATGTTTATGACTTTCTTATATATGATGTATTGTTGTTTATGATTTTCTTGTTGTATTTTATTGTAATTATTTATATATTATCGAATTTATTATATTTTCTTTAGTGTTATTGGTTTATTGTGTTAATTAATTGGTGCATGTTACTTAATTAACTGGTTAAAATGATCCAAAAATTAATAATTTAAAAATATGTGTTTACTCGATTTCTTACCAGATTATTTTGGATGGAATTTGAATAAGAATAGTACACTTGATCCGGTAGGGTAGGACAAAAAAAAATTCTTTCGTAAAATATCGGATAGGAAGATGAAATACCATAATTCCTACCCATAGGGTAGGGTGAACATCCCTAACTTAGGTTGTGGACTAGAGCCGGTTAGATAATTGGTGTACTTTGTTTAGCTCTCATTTTGTTAGCTATAGAAAGCTTGAGACAATTTTGAATTTGGACCATGATCAAATCTAAAAGTTTAAGATGATGGATGGAGTGTAACATCAATATTACATAATTTAACAGGACCTCTCATGTGCGGGCTTGAATTTGGGCTAGCATGCGCAAGGATTATAATCAGCAAAGTTACATCGAGATTCAAATGCAAAACCAGGCATACTGGGATAGAAAGTACTCTAGGCATCCTAGGATTCAAGATTGCATGATCTCAAAATGTGGTGGGTTTGGAATCTAGATCGCATAAACTTCCTGTCCCAAACTGTAACTCTAACTAAATCGACCAATGATCCAGATACCCCTAAACTGTAAATCTAATTAACTTTTTATTTCTTTAGTTTTAGTGTTCTTTAAAGTCATATTTTTGTTGCATTTTAATTTTTTTCCTAGAACAACTATGCAACTATCGACTCATATTAGTCGGTATGGTTTTCTTGAAAATCATATCCTAACTCAAAACAGCATACAAATTAAATATACTCCCATTGCATCACATATTGGAGAAAGTATAGTACCATGTACCTGCACCATGTGCCAACTTGGTTCACAATATCTAGGTAACAATGTGTTGGACCTCCTGCCATGATGGTATGTTTAATCATTGTCTCACGTGAAAGTTTAAATTGTTGAAGAGGTTATAACGCAAGTATTATATACCTCAACAAACAAGAAATACTAGATCCTTAGATCCAGGTACTTGCGACTTGATACTTCTTGTTGTTGCATTTGAGCTTGTTCCATGTCCTATGACAGGTGAAGGAGATTGTGAGGCCAGGTTGTTCAGAAGAAGTGCTGAATGTGGCCTTGAATTCCATTTCATCACTTGTCAGAATTCTCTCCATGTTGTCTTCCAAACAAAAGCCCCATGCCTCACTATGACTTGATCAAACCACACGTTGGCAGCACTACTATTATAAGGAAGAATGTCTGTCAAGCTGTATTGATTACCCTGATTTAAAGGATGACTATGAAGCCTATCCCATCTGGAAGGAAAAGAAGATAACAAATGATCCAGTGCTGGATATCGATGGCCACCTGTTGTATACTGTCACATAGGTATGCTGTAAAGATCTGTTTATTAGTCATTTTTGAAGATCCATTAATTGTGTTATAAGTCGTAATGCTGGTTGTAAACATATATTTTGCCATTGGCAATTTCTGTTTTTGGGTCTGACAATATTTAAATTTAGATATCAGACATACTTATGCCTAATTAAACCATCATCGTGTTAGCAGCGTCTTGTAGTGAGAGACAGAAATATGGACTTAGTAAAACGGGCACCAGACCTGAAACATGTCACTTCTTCTTGACCTTAGTGTGAGCTATTAATATGTCCTTAGATCTGTCCTCCCTGTTTCTTGCAGAAGTTAGCTATGTTCGTCGTAGAGTTTCTTAGGTTTAGGAGTTATGAATAGACGGTAACTTCATACAAATATCAGGAAACCCTTCTTTCATAAAGTAAATTAAATCTTTTTCAAATGGAAGTAAAATTCAGGAATTCATGTGAACCTCTGAATTATCTCTTTTTCAATGCAACAACTATGTCAAGACTCTTTGTCTTCTCCACAGCTAGATGTTCAGCCACACATACTGCAAACCTCTCAAACAGATTGTCCATTATAGAGTGACCAAAATGACTAGCCAACATAGGTTCCACGATAGCTCTTACGGCTTTGGCAAAACTTCTCCCAAAGCTGCTCTTATAAAAAACACAGTCGTCGTCGTCATCCTTGTTCCGGGGATCCTGTTTAGGTTCAAAAGCTTCTAGCCTATCAATAATAAAGGAACCATCCGTTTCAATTGTAGTCTTCACTTCATCTTTGTAGGGTGTATAAAAAGGCAAATTGAATGAATTGATGTCCGCCTCTTGAATGAGCCCCTAATATAAAATAAGATGATGACAAACATTCCATTTTAGCAGCTGAAAAGGAGAAAAAAAATATTTGATTGCAAGCTGAATCGGGTTAGATGTGCAAATGGACCGAACCTCAGGCACCAAATCGAACAGAGATTTTGTTAGTAGTTCCCAACCTCAACAGCAACCTGCTGAGGTGGGATCCGCAGTGCTCCTGCCGATAAATGTTAGAACCATTCGCCCACCAGGTATTATTTCCTCAGAGCGCAAGTGTAGAAATTTTGAGAAGTCTCTCTGAAATTGCTTCAAATATGCTTCATAAACATCAGGAGGACTTGTCTTTGAGATGTAAATATGCCGTTTGTTATTCTGCAGGCCTTCAGGAACCTATTACGCAAATGGTTAGGCTTTTTCATCTGGAACTGCTTTGAAACATTAGCTTGTAAAATGCATAGAACGATACAAAATAAAATTCCTATGGACAATTTCAGGGTGACATTGTGATGATATGATGAGTGAAATTTTTTGAAGACGATGCTAACCTGAGAGAGCCAATGAACACTGTAAGAGGAATGAACAAAATGCAGGCTGTTTCTTGGGAAAAGCCTTCCATAAAAAGAACCTGGCACACCCCGACACAAAACATGGCGCGAATTGATCTTCTTCTTCTCCTTCCTTATTCTTAAGCTTGTCATAAAATGGAGGGAGGGATTTGAATACGGAGTTGAAATCATTTTCTGGAAGATCATTTAGAGACACCTGAATCTCGGGTGCTTTGCTATAGTTATGCTTGCACAACCCTCGGATGGTGTCGATAATATTGGAGTTGACCAAAATGGCGTGCGTTTGTCCCTGAAGAACATCCCAAATCTGCAATGTTAAAACAGTCGGGGAAGCCACCCGCACTGTACATATCTTTGATGCTGTCATCTAAAATAGGTTGCACCTTCAGTATCACTGTTCTCTGCAAGATAGGTTTGATTCAATTGTTTAATGTGATACATGAGATTGTATGTATTCATGTGAATCCTATGCTTCTCGGTGTGTGTGTGTGTGTGGGGGGGGGGGGGGGGGGGGGGGAGAGAGAGAGAGAGAAAGAGAGACCTGAACACTAGAATTCTTGGCATAGCGATATGCTTTTGACTACCATGGTTTCCTTGTTTGCTACTGTTGCTATCTTATCGGCTGTGTATATATATATTTTTTTTAATTTTTTTTTTTTTTTGGGGGGAGGGGAATAGAACTTGAACCCTTGATCTCAACATGACAAAACCTTTACAAGACAAGGAGTACTATTGGACCAAATATCCGCGGTATCGACTGTATATAAGACTGCTACTTAAATGATTTCTTGATATGAAATATGTTTTTTTTTCCCTCGTAATTTTGTCCTATTGGAGTCCTTAGTTTTCTTTTAAAACATATTAAAAGAATTAATTTTCGTGATTTATCGTGCCTAAGTGACTCAAAATAATCCTTAAATATATACCTAGAAAGTATGGATACGAATACAGATATGAATACGTGATATATGTACGATATGATACAGATACGGTGATATGACAAAACTTTAAAAAAAAGATATACGAGTATGGTTAGAATACATCTATAATAAAATGTATTTTATATCTTACTATTATTTAACAAGTTAAAATTTACACTTTTTAATAATTCTTTAATAGTAGTAAGTAAAATTAAAAATTTTTACTTTGAAAAATACTCCCTCCGTTCCTAAATATTTATCGTTTAAAATTTTTGTACATGGATTAAGGAAGCTATTGAATAGCTCTAATATGAGTAAAAAATAATTGCACAAGACTAAAATATATTTATTCAATACGTATTGGGAAGGAAAAGAATATGAAAGACATTTAACCTCCACCTAATCTAATGCATTTAAAAGTTAAGGATAAATTTAGAAAGAAAAAATAGTAATTATGTTTTGGTTTCATTAAACGACAGATATTATGGAACAAAAAAAATTGTATAAAACGACAGATATTTAAGAACGGATGAAATATATAACATTATGATATCCATAAAATCAGACCACAGTTAACAAATTGGTTGTTTACAAGTATTTGATTTTTAAAATCATAGTATAACTAACTTATTTTTTTTATACTTTTTTGATATGTAATTGTAGATAATACTTAAAAAACACTCGTATTTTTAAAATTAGATATAATTTTGTTGGTGTTTTGTACTGTATGTGAACTCGAAAGAAGAGGAAATAGATAAAATTAAAAATTGTACATCTTACTCTATGTTTAGAAGTATTCGTGAAGTATTTACATATTTAGTTAATTATCAAATACATATGATGCGTATCAATATGAATCTTTGAGTATTTAACAAATATCGTATTTAATACGATATTCAAAATGGGCACGACGATCTTACTGAATTATTTGTGCTTGTGCTTCATAGATGCATACATATGGGATTCATATAAAAAATTTGTATGGGGGGGGGGGGGGGGGGGGGAGAGAGAGAGAGAGAATAATCCATTATTGATGATGCTTCTCTAAGCAAGCTCACCAGGTATTATTTTTTTTGTCCTAATAATTTTAGAGTGATTTATATGAAGTAAAAATTAGAAATTCAGTCCCCTTCTCTCTTAAAAAATACCAAGTGATACCCAAGGACAAATTTAGAAATTCAGTCCCCTTCTAGCTTTGTCCTAAATTTCGTTTCAAAATTGTTGAAATGTCCGAAATGTTTATATTTTCATAAAAATTGAAACGAATCATAGATTGAATATCAAAATTTCTATATTTCGGTAGATTTTGAAGTGTTCCTGCATATTTCGACTTATGTTTCAGTGTGTTTCGACTAATGTTGCAGAAATAAATTTTCAAAATTTTCTTTGTTTCTACCTTTTTTTCCGAAATGTTTCCGTTTTCAAACTTACCGATACGTAATTTTGATCCTTAGTGATACCTAATAAAAAAATGCCCTATTTCTATAATGATTTATACAATATCAAATCAACAAATTTTTTTTTTTAAAAAAGAAATTTTTTTTGAATAATCCTAGTTAAATAGACTTGTGACAAAATGAAGTTATCGTATTTGACACTAATCTAATCCATGTATTATTTGTGTTACTTAGATTGTGTTCCTTTTCTGATTTGTGTTAACAATTTCTTAATTTTCACTCATTAATTTCGTGTTTGGTTCGTGTCAAATTAATATATCGCATCGAAATTTGTTGTTCCTAATTTTATTAGATGATTAGGACACCAGACAGATACGGCAGCCAAATTATTGTTTGGAAAAAGCCTTGTATAAAATTAAGCTGACACTCCCGAGATAAACCAAGGGATTTGATTTCGGTACCGAAAGAGATACTCTATCAAAGTTTTTAATTGTAGAGGTAAAGTTATATTTTTTTTTAGTGTTTGGAATTGATCCTAACATTGATTGTAAAAACCCCCAAATTATTATAAATGATACCCAAAAATTGTGTAGAAACCCTTAAAAAATTATACATGATGGTACTCTATTGAAATTATTTTTTAGTACCATATAATTCTTCTAAGAAAAGGCGCCAACTGATTATTCATTATTAATGATTGAGTGACGCACTTATATATTGGGCTGATAGTTGAACGAACGAACGAAAAAAACTTGTTTTTTTTAACTAAGGTTAAAAAAATGTTCAGATTCGACTCATTTATAAACGAGTAGAGCTTAAACGAACCCAAAATAAGCCGAACTCGAGTCGAATTCGAATATTTACACAAAACGAGTCATGTTCGAGTCGACTCTGTTAGATTTATTTTTCAAACGAGTCTAAAAAATTGTTCAAATTTAACTCGTTTAGGAAAAAAAAATCAACAAGTCGAATTCAAGCTAAGTTTGAATAGTTCAGCTTAATTGACAACCCTACTTAATGAGTGATTTACTAAGAATAAAATTTAAGAAAAAAATATATCGGATGAAATCTCACTCCAAACGAGACAAGTTGACGGCCGTTGAGCCGAACATGTTTCATAGCACTAGCTTTCGGAAAAGGGGCTATACGTTTCACTTGTTTTCTTTTTTGGTTCTGTGAAAATAGATTTTTTTTTTCTTGAGAAAAAAGGGGTGGGGAGGGGGGGGGGTTTAAAAGAGAGCCCCCAAAGACCACTCTAATAGGCTTTTACTAGTGAAATTATAAAGCCTCCGACCATGCCCGTTTCTCTTTTTTGGAAATGAATCTAACTATGCTAACATAGTGATCAATCACAGAGCCCCAATGTGAATTTTAATACTCGAACCTGCAACTTCAAACTGAGAAATTCGACCAGTATCCTACTGGACCACCACACTCGATGCTTTATGAAAATAAAATCTAGGGTCTCTATGATGATAATACTAAGCATTATCACGTGGTATCACCACTTCTCACGTGATAATGTTTCATTTTCGAATTCTCTTCAAAAACTAGTCTAAGGTAGTGTTTGATAAAATTAAAAACTGAAATCTGAAAGTTGAATGCTAAATGCTAAATTTTTAGATTATTTGGTATTCACTGAAATTTAAGTACTGAATTGAACTAAACTGTTTGATAACTACACAGAGCTGACGTGTCACACCCCCACCCCAGATCACATAGGGTGGGTGGCGGACCGGCCACCAAGACCTTAACCAATTAACCCTGTGCATAATAAATGCAAAATACAGCGGAAGACAAATAATAAAGTGATCTAATCCATCGACCTAATGAATATCAGAGGAGTAAACTAAACATCACCAACATTATTATTAAATTCATGTAAAACAATAACTAAACCATAAGATTCACTACTTTAAAGTCTAAACATGAGCAACATTATTCTCAAAACAATTAAATATTTGTCTCAAAACCATAAAAGACATTTATTCCTGAAAACTTACAATAAAATAAATCCTCAATTCTTCTAATCCTTTGTCTATCCGGGGACTTACTTTTCCCCCTGATCCTCACTTGAAAAATATTAAATATTTGGGTGAGCACAAAGACCCGTGAATAGCAACCACCTCTAATGAGGTATGAAAATAAATCTCATATTTTATATGCAAAAATAAATTTTGTTATATACATAAGTACAACAAATTGTACCTCAATCCCTTCCACATAATCATATAAACAAAACGTTCTTATGATCATAAATAACTTTATAAAAGTAAAGACATATATAACTCAAACACCCACTCATTTTGACAAATAATTTTATAAATGAAAGACATTTATAATTCAAAACACTCACACACACATTCAATTTTAAATACATTTGTCAAATTATGTTTGTTACCACTACTCTGGTAACTGGCCCCATCTCCTGTCATCACTAGTCTGATGACTAGCTCTGTCTCTTGTTATTACTAGCCTGATAACTGGCCCCTATGTGCACATCCCTATACCGACCACGTCGGTATACAATCTCGTTACCATTTAAACCTGGTAACCTAGTCTCCTTCTCATAAAACATGATTTCAACACACATATTAAAACTGTTGTTTTAGTTCCAACGCACACAAAATTTTTCTTTCATCATCAAAACACATTTAAGCAATGATATAAAATCATCTCATAATTTTTTTTTCAAATTCATATGTATAACAATTCACAATTGTAAAACAATTAATTGCAACCCAAAATATCAACATATATCATATATATGAAAAATTCACACGCACGCACCCATAGTTTAATATAGAAAATCCTCCCAATAGAAGTAGTAAAATACTCACCTTGATTCCCAAAATTCAATTCAAAGCACTCTTTCCCAACCTCAATGCAATCACCACTTAATCCAAAATAACATATAACAATCAATCTCTATTCCTAACTTCGTCATTTCACGATTTTATATTTACTTTTTGTACTTCCTACCTATTGATATATAATTAATATATCTTTTACATATAAATATCCTTTCTAATATGAGTTAATAAGATATG